CATTGCGTGCAAATTTCATGACAAATTGACCAGTAGAAATGCTCCAAAATTGCTTGAAATAAATAATTCTCTTTAACTTGCAAACTCATGAAAAGTTGCCATTTAGAAATACTTTATTTGTCTATTTATTCGTTTTTTTTTGGACAGCGACAATTTACTAATGATTGACAATTTACTAGATGACATTTTAACATGAAGCCATGCAAGGAGTAGGAGAGACTTGTTGGTTAGGTATCCTGATGTATGTAACACAACACTTTAGTGCACTGTTATTCTGGGCAGAGTGTATAAAACAAAAAATGTCTGGTAGGCTGTAGTAAGACCTACCAGATAAAAAAGGCTCAGAAAAGCATCTAAATCATAAATTTTTACGGTAGTAACAAAGATGTCAGATAAAGTCCGAGACACACCGGAGAAAGTCGGACCCTCCAATATATTCATGTGAGGGTATATAGTTTCACGGGGAAAATGCCACTCAAATAAGACATAAAGACATAAATTAAAAAAAGACATTGATTAAAACTTTAGTACTACAAATATTTGTATGTAACATGCATACTAACATAACTACGTGGTCTTCTAAATAAAAACTGTGTGTGTTTGTAATATCTCAGGACAATAACTAATATATGAAAGGACGTTTTGAATTTTAATATTTATTTATGCTTAGGAGTCAGTGTTTCAATCCAACTTGGCATTAAAGTATATTTTAAATCTGTGGGAAACACCATTGAACCCATCAATATGTGAACCTTGAATGTGCAAGCCAGTAGAAAACAAAAGGGCAAACTGTGGTATCTTCTTTCTGGAAAAAAAAATAAATAAATTGAGGAACTTTTCCTTATTCAACAAATGTGGTTGGTCACTCGCAGCTGCAAAAAACCAAACTAGTTAGCTGCTCACCAAACTATATGTTCCCTCCAAAACCACATTACATCAGGACCTCCCACACTCACCTAGATGATGCTCCACACTGGCAGAGAAAGTAGCGAGGCAACAGTCTGGTGTTACTTCTGCTTAAAGCTGTTGTTTGTCTGTAGTGAGTTATTACTGCCACTCTGCCTGGTCTTTGGGTCAGTAGATGAGGCCTATTTGATTTGGGGGAGTGTTTGGTGCAAGAGGTAACAGCTGATGAACGGCAATTGGCAAAGTCTGTGGGGTCAAGTTAGAGATAAACACTTTATTCTTCACCTTGTTTACTGTTATCTTTTCTTTCATCTTTTATTGTCTGTCTTTTCTGTCGCACGCTCTTTTCACAATTTTTCTGTTCTTTACATGTCAGCCTGTCTCTCTCTCTCTCTTTCTTTCTTTCTCTCTCTCTCTCTCTCTCTTTCTTTCTTTCTTTCTTTCTTTCTTTCTTTCTTTCTCTCTCTCTCTCTCTCTCTCTCTCTCTCTCTTCCTCTCTGAATTTTCCTCGATCTCTTTGTGGCTAATTTAGAGCAATTGTCTGTCTTTGGGGTCATCTGTGTATCATTTGACCTGTTGCTAGGCAATGAAGCAGTCTGTCATCGTGGTTACTCTGTTGTAGTGCATTCAGGTGGGACTGAACTCAGAAAAACATTTTGTGGGTGTGTGTGTGTTTGTGTTGTGTTGTGTATCAGCATAAAACAGCTATTTACTATCTTTGGGTATGTTTAGCTGCAACGCTCATGTTCATGTTCAGGTGGTTTAAAGCCCTGATGACATTGTAACTGGGGGTTAAAATGTGTGGCCTTTGACCTTATTCCCAAGGTAGTGATTTTGTCTGGTGTTCTTTCAGGTTTCCAGATTTTGCAAGTTGATGTTTACATCAAGAAAAAATGGTGCCAGAAGAGGTAGATTGAGTACTTTAGAAATGTTCAAGCTGATTGAAAGGTGGTATTAACTGGAACAAATACTCTTTACAACATTGTTGATTAGAAAAGCATCTCTGAACACACAGTACAAACCTTGAGGTGGATGGCTACAACAGCAGAAGACCACATAGGGTTCCACTCCTGTCAGAGAAGAATACAAATCTTGAGACTATAGTAAACACAGGCTAACCAAAACTAGAAACACGTCACTTAGTCTGATGAATCTTGATTTCTGCTGCTACATGCTTATACTGGGTCTTTGGTGTAAGCGGCATGAATCCATGGACCCAACCTGCTTTGCATCGTGAACATGATAGTATGTTCACTGTACTTCAGTGTTATCCCCAGTCACTAGGATCTAAATCCAATAGAGCACATTTGGGATGTGGCAAAACGTGAGATTCACAGCAATTACAGGATGCAGTCATGTCAAGATGGAACATAATCTCTAAGAAGTGTTTCCTCTACCTTACTGAATTCATGCTATGAATTATTCAGGCTGTTCTGACACAAATGGGTCCTACCCACTATTGTATTGGTGTTTATAATAAAGTGTCTACTGTATATTCAGTATTTGGAGACTATTCCTGCACAAACAAAACAGTTAAATACTATTCACCATAATAGCCCCACAGTGGTGGAGGCTAATTACGCTGTGTGTGTGTGTGTGTGTGTGTGTTAGTGTGATTCTGAGAGAACGAGATGTCTCCTGCTTAACCTGCTTGTGTTTAAATAGCTAACCTGGTTTCTAAACACTGCATTGATAACACACTTATGACATCATATACAGTGAAAAATGAAGTGTGTGTGTGTGTGTGTGTGTGTATTTGTGGGGATCTGGCTGTTTCTCTGAAATGGCCATTGCATCATGGTCATTGGCCATTTAGGATGGGTTTTGGTCTGTATGTGGCTTAGACTTCATCCTGCTTTTGGCATGAGTTTTGGCCTGAGTTCGGTTTTGGTTTGGCCTGGTCCTTGTGCCCTTCTCCTCCGTTTTGAAATTCTCTGGTGTTTAGGCCACCTCAAAGCTGTCTGAGCAGTAAGGGAGTTCCAAAGTTCAGGAGATTTTGTGGAACAGGATGCAAATTTAACAAATGCACCAGGCTGTTCATTTTTAATATAACTGACCAATATTTTTTTCCAAGTTAAGCTGGTCACACCAAACATGAGTGAAATCTGACAGATGAGAAAGTTGCTCGTCATCTAAGTGAACTTTAACCCCACAAACTCAAGAACCTCAGAAGCATCAGCCCATAAAATAATAAGAGTGCGAGCTGTGGTGTCTTCTTTCGGAAAAATAATAAACAGTGAAACTGGTCCTCAGTTACATTGTCATAAAAAACTATTCTGCCAGCTAATTACTAGTTTACATTTCCTACAAAATCACATCACTCAGTACTGCCGATTTTTTGCTTCGTCCCACAAAGAAAATAGCGAGGCATCACTCCGATATGACTGCAGCTTTAGAGTACTCAACTCCAAACTTGCAGGAAATACACAGTTCATATGAAGTCAACATATCCTTTACAGCGAGGCATCTCTCCGATATGACTGCAGCTTTAGAGTACTCAACTACAAACTTGCAGGAAATACACACAGTTCATATGAAGTCAGCATATCCTTTACAGCGAGGCATCTCTCCAGTATGACTGCAGCTTTAGAGTACTTAACTACAAACTTGCAGGAAATATACAAAATTCATATGAAGTTAACATATCCGTTACAACACACCTAAAGCACAATTACTGTTTATTTACAGAATTTAACATATAGTGGAAAATAAATTAAATATAAATATAGGTAAATAATATTAATATAATTAACTGAAATAAATTCTAACTATGTAGCAGGAGTCAAATTAGTTTATGGAACTGTAATAGCATTTTAATGGAATAATGGAGAAATGTAAAATGAACAAATGTGAAAGGAAAAAAAAAAATAACTGTTATTAACTTTAATCACTGTACTTTAATAGCTAGCCAGCCCTGATAATAATACATAATACAGAAACTGCTTAAAGGTTAAAGGGTTAAAATAAACAGTAATAAATAATTAGGGGCCAAAGAATGGATTTCTAATCAGGGCAATTCTTTGAATTCCTTTTTTGACGCTTGCGTTAAAGCAGCTGCTAGCATGCTAATGCAGCCGCCTGGCTTTTCTCCTGCTGCTCCGGCAGCAGGGAGATATGGCAGTGAACATACGTCAGGTATTATGTCCACTTAGATTATAATATGACTGCTTAGCATGCTGTTTGAAGCTGACAGCACATCTGTTTCATCAGGACAGACTGATGCTGGCATTGAGGACACACATCTCACCATGCAGGCAAGAGATAAACGAAAGAACCTAGAGGGCTGTCTCACTCGCCCTAATGCTTCTGTGCTCTCTTTCACTCTCTCTTTCTCTCCTTTTCTCTGCACGTGGTTGTTTGCCTGTTTGTGTTGATCTGTACACAAATTAATATTCAGTAAGCACCAGAGGCATTGATCATGGATCGTGCATGTATAGGGTTGATTAGTGATGATGTCCTGTGCTAATTCTCTGTGTATCTTTTCTGAAGGCTCAGGATATTAATTTGTCTTTATTTATGAGCTTATTTTATATGCAACAATATTCATGTGCAGACTGGGAAAAAAATAAATTAAAAGTAGATTGAATACCTTAAAGCATTTTTGAAAGAAGGATACAGGAAAATATGAATTTAAGCTATAAAAAGAATATCAAAGTTTCAGTATTACGCTGCATGATGTTGCTGATAAAGCTGAAAGACTGCCCTGTTCCAACAAAACAGCTTTAACCTTTAGAGGTTGCAGTTAGGTTGCAATTTTGTATTGCATATTTTTCACTTGTTAGCTCATTGAAACAAGCAGAGGAAGTATAGATTTTAAATTTGAATGCATACCACATTTGTGTTTTTAACTCGACGAGATACATTTAGATTTGAAAACGTAATACCTGCTTTCTGCAAAGTAAAAAAATCCTTTACTTTCTCTTTATTTTCACGTGTTTTTTGGCTGTTTTTAATTGAAATAAAGGGCACCAAGTCAGAGGTATAGACTTGCACATGTCAGTACAGAAAGTAAATATTAATTTAATAGTATGTTAATATTAGCATATTTTTAATTCAGTGGGTATATGATAATTTCTTTTCTCTCTATTTCTCAGCCTATGTGCCAGAGGTTGTGATTAAGGGAGCTGCATTTGACAAAGAAACTCCTCAAGATGATGGGCTCTCATTGGACAGCCAAGATGCAGAGTACACGTATAATGAGGAAGAGGAGGATGACGTAAAAGGTCCTCTGACCCCACAGGACTCCCCCTTCAGCAATGGCACCAACCCAGATGCTGGCTATGCTTCCCCATTTAGTGATGCTAGTGATCAGATTGCTGATTATAAGAGCACCTTTTTAAAAGAAGAAAAGGGAGAGCTGCCCAGCCACATGACCAATGGGAACGGCCTGCAGGACAGCTTGGCACAGATGAAAGCAGTCTATGCAAATCTGATTTCTGATGCCTCCTGGTCCAACACAACCATGGATATCATGGAAACCAAGCCAGTGTCCACCAGCAGTGCCACTAAACACACAGCTAACACCACACCTACCAACGCCACTGACATCACCAATGAGAATAGCCACCACAGCCGAAAAAGCTCTATAGCAAGCAGTCTTAATGGAACTGTTGGCACCAATTCAAATATCAACACTGCTGCCATAGTCTACAGCACTGGCAGTAATAGCAGTGGTAATACCAATAATGGTGGCAGTGTGGCTTATGATTGGCATCAAGCTGCTTTAGCCAAAACACTCCAACAAACCCCTTACCACTTACTCCCAGAACCTAGTCTGTTCAGCACGGTCCAGCTTTACAGGCAAAACAACAAACTCTATGGCTCTGTTTTTACTGGTGCTAGCAAGTTTAGATGCAAAGACTGCAGTGCAGCATATGACACGCTAGTTGGACTTACTGTTCACATGAACGAGACTGGCCATTACCGTGATGACAACAAAGACAAGGAGGAGGATGGTGGCAAACGCTGGTCAAAGCCCCGCAAACGTTCCTTGATGGAGATGGAGGGCAAAGAGGATGCCCAGAAAGTGCTAAAGTGCATGTACTGCGGCCACTCCTTTGAATCTCTGCAAGACTTGAGCGTCCACATGATCAAGACAAAGCATTACCAGAAAGTGCCTCTCAAAGAGCCAGTGCCAGTCCTGGCCACCAAGCTGGTGCCAGCAGCCAAAAAACGATCTCTTCAGGACCCTCTACTTTCCCCGTGCTCCCCAGACTTATTCACAGGTTCCAGTGGAGTTGCATTAGCAGCAGAGGCTGGAAAAGATGCAAAGGGAACTGCAAACCCTTATGTAACCCCCAACAATCGCTATGGATATCAAAATGGGGCTAGCTACACATGGCAGTTTGAGGCACGCAAGTCGCAGATTCTGAAGTGCATGGAGTGCGGCAGCTCTCACGATACTCTGCAGCAGCTGACTGCACACATGATGGTCACTGGCCACTTCCTTAAGGTCACAAACACTGCTTCAAAGAAGGGAAAGCAGCTGTTGTTTGATCCAGTAATGGAGGACAAGATCCAGTCAATTCCATTACCGCCCACTACTACCAGGCTGCCTGTCCCAAGCCTTAAGTCTCAGTCTGTGTCTCCTGTGCTGTCTGCTGGCTCAGAGAACAAGAAGAAAACCGAGGAGACAAAGATGAAGGTTGGTGAAGTTGTTGAGAAAAATATCAAGGAGGAGGAAGAGCCTACTGACAAGGCAGACGTTGACACGTACAGGTACCTTAGAGAAGAAGACCTTGAGGAGACTCCCAAAGGGGGAATGGACATCCTCAAATCTCTGGAGAACACAGTGTCTAGTGCCATCAGCAAGGCTCAGACAGGTACACCTACCTGGGGAGGATACCCCAGTATCCATGCAGCTTATCAACTCCAGGGATCTGCCAAGTCATCTTTACTTCCTCCAACAGTTCAAAGTGTGCCAGTGCAGCCAGTCTTCAACAGTGCCCTCCTGTCCCTTGTTACTGACCCTGGGGCAGTAATACACTCTCCTCATAGCCCCTCATCACCCCCATGCCTTAGGAACAATGTATCTGCAATGGAGGAGCTGGTGGAGAAGGTCACAGGAAAGGTCTCAGTAAAAAAAGAGAAGGAGGAACAGATGGTGAGTGCGGAGCAACCAAGCCCTGCCTACACACCCAGATCACAATCACCAGTACACTTGGATACTGTAAAAGCTGGAGAAACAGTAAGGAGCAACAGCCCAAAAAAGAAAGATAAAGATGTTGTATGTGAATTGGATCCTAAACAAACTTCAATAGAAAGGCAAAATTATACAAAAAATGGTATAGAATCATGCAAGTCACCCATTACTAATGGCAGTGGTTTGGGGATCATTACTGATCATTCACCTGACAGTCCTTTTATCAGCCCTCTTAGTACGCTGCAGTCAGTGATGAAGGCCCACCTCAGCAAAGCCTCCAAATCAGTCAACACCTCCTCTGATCCTCTCTCAATGTTATACAAGATCAGCAATAAGCTGATTGACAAGCCTGCCTACCATTCCACTTCTGTTAAGCAAAGTGAATCTCTCAACACATATTTCTATGAGGACATTGACCAGCCCATAGATTTGAGGAAATCCAAAAGCAGGAGTGATGTTACCAACAGTGACATCCATAGCAAAACCAGCAGTCACCCAGTACAGACAAAGAAAATTAATGGAACTAGGCCTCTTCACCTGGGCTCATCTTTCTCGGATCCTGTATCATCCCTCAGAGAGAATGCACTGATGGACATCTCGGATATGGTGAAGAATCTTACTGACCACCTAATTCCCAAATGCTCCACTCCCTCCCCCATCTCTGAGAAGTCTGATGCAGACAGCAGTGTGTTTGAAGATACACTGGAAGACCTTTCCTCTTCACAGAAGCGGAAAGGCCGTCACTCTAACTGGAACCCTCAGCACCTGCTTATTCTCCAGGCCCAGTTTGCCTCAAGCTTGAGGGAGACTCCAGAGGGCCACTATGCCATGACAGACCTTGGACCTCAGGAGCGTGTGCACATATGCAAATTCACTGGCCTCTCAATGACCACTATCTCCCACTGGCTTGCCAACGTGAAGTACCAGCTGAGGAGAACTGGTGGGACCAAATTTCTGAAGAACATGGACTCCAGCCAGCCTGTGTTTCTGTGCGGAGACTGTGCCTGCCAGTTCAGGACTCCTTCGTCTTATATTAGCCATCTGGAGTCTCACCTAGGCTTCAGCCTCAAGGACCTGTCCAGTCTCTCTGTGCACCACCTCCAGGAGCAGCAGGCTGTCTCCAAGGTGATCATGGACAAAAGGCCATATGGCAGCCCCCTGCTGAACTTAATGGCATGCGATGAAGGCTCTAGCCCTGGCTCAGTATACCAGTGCAGACTTTGCAGTCGGACGTTTGTCAGCAAGCATGCAATCAAACTTCATTTGAGCAAGACTCATGGAAAGTCACCAGAAGACCACCTGGTGTTTGTCACAACTTTAGAAAAGCTTGGAAAATAGGTACCATGAGGTCACTGAGTGATCAAGTACAGCTGGCTGAATCACTGAACTGTCTTGTTGCACTAAACTAGTTTCTGCACTGGGCCTGAACTGAGCCATCAAGAATCAGTTTTACTTTCTGTTGTAAAACTGCCTGACTGGACAATGTCTCTTTGGTTTGTTTACTTTTGTTTCTGCCAAACTTTTTAACTCATTTTAAATGTATTTATATTATATTTGTTAGATCTGTGCATGTATGTTAGTGAAGGTACACGCGTCTTTATTCTTCGAAGCTCTATTTTTATGCACAATTTGGACGGAAGATATGATAAAATATTAATGGGCTGCTCAGAAGCCTGAAATAGTACCTTAAAGGGGCATTCTGGTGTAAAACCATTGTTTAATGTTTTGTTATGTTATGCAATATTCTAGTGTAGCATTATATCCTTCAGCTTGCCTTGTTGGTTTGACAGAATTCATCATTTTAATCATTTTCATGTTTTGTTCATTAATGTTTTCTCACTACAGTACCCGGCATGCATTAAGCAAATGCATAATACAACCATATGGTATCCCTGTGTTGTCACCTAATCCTGACTGCTAGCTTAGCCACTGATTTATGAGCTAATAAATGCAACCAAGCCAGATGCCAGAGGCAGGTTTTTTACCCTTTCAGCCAGTGAGAAGAAGCCAAACTTAGGTAAGGTATTTAAATAGCCAGGTACTTTGCTAACTATAGCTTGTTGTCCTCCTCATCAGACCAGAATTTTTTATCGTTTCTCAGTTCTAATGATGATTTAAAAATAGTTATTACAGTTATATGGCTGTAACATGGCTGATTTTCCAAGTCCTATGCTAGGGACAACTGTAGCACTGCTGTAGAATGAAAGTGTGGTTGTTTATGTTTTTCATTTTAGCCCGAGTGTCCCTTTAAGTACTATATTTCAGAATGAGACCTTTTTAAAAATAATCAGTCTACACAATATTTCTGAACAAATTTGTTGACCATTTGCTCTTTAATTTAATTATATTAAAGAATCTACTTTTGTATAGGCATCTGATAACTGAAATAGGTTCACTCCTGCCAGACTGAAGATGGAGCATTAAAGTATGCAAACTTGCTTTTAAAGAATACAAAACTAGTTATGTTCTGTTTTATCACTTTATAATAATTTGTTACTCTTTTGGTATTATGCCAGTCTGATTTCAGCTACTTGTTCCAATGATTGGTGTCTAAATCATGTAATCTTGTCATTTGCGACAGCGTATCCTTTGTATTTAAGATGTGTGTATTCTTTAACTTTTCTATTGTCATTTTTTATGTAAAAAGGTCAAAACATAGTGTAAATAGATATATGCATTAGAGCCACATAATTGTTTTTCTAAAAGCTTCTCTGACTTAGTTTACAGAAATGTGACTTATACCTACATTCAGATTGATGCATGAAGTTATGTGAGGGTGTGCACAATGACTGTAAATTTTCATGTTTTGTAAAAGCGAAGAACCTTTTTAGCAGCAATTAGTATTTTCCTGAATTGTAAAATAAACCCAAAGCAGTTACAGCATATAAATTGTCATGGTTGTGCATCACTATGTTTTTACTTGAGATGTTACTTAATTTGGTATCACTTGGATTTAATTGATTGTTGAATCAACACAACCACGTTTTAAATACTGCATGTGAACAGTAGACTACTCGTGCTGGGGCCTGATTCACAAAGCAGGATTTGTTGTTTAGCGAGTTAACTTTTTGTGTCTAGTGGAAGTGAAACTTATGGAAAAAAAATCATACAACAAACATCAAACACCATAAATATATAAACAAATATAAAGCAATTAGTAGTACAAAAGTCTTGCTCTCCCTGGGTCAGCTCCACTTACTATATAGGTGCACTTTATAGCTCTACAATTACAGACTGTAGTCCATCTGTTTCTCTGCATACTTTGTTAGCCCCCTTTTACCCTGTTCTTCAGTGGTCAGGACCCCCATGGACCCTCACAGAGCAGGTACCATCTGGGTGGTGGATCATTCTCAGCACTGCAGTAACACTGATATGTTGGTGGTGTGTTAGTGTGTGTTGTGCTGATCTGAGTGGATCAGACACAGCAGTGCTGCTGCAGTTTTTAAACACCTCAGTGTTACTGCTGGACTGAGAATAGTTCACCAACCAAAAATATCCAGCCAACAGCGTCCTGTGACCGCTGATGAAGGACTAGATGATGACCAACACAAACTGTGCAGCAGCAGATGAGCTGTCGTCTCTGACTTTGCATCTACATGGTGGACTGACAAGGTAGGAGTGTCTAATAGAGTGGACAGAGAGTGGACACAGTGTTTAAAAACTCCAGCAGCACTGCTGTGTCTGATCCACTTGTACCAGCACAACACACACTAACACACCACCACCAAGTGAGTGTTACTGCAGTGCTGAGAGCTGATCTAATGACTGCCCATGTACTGTCTGCACACGCATTCTATATGTCAATGTGCACAATACATATTGTGACCAGATTTACAGCAATGAAACAAAAGCTGTCTTATCTGAAACACAGGACAAATAAACAAGTTTTAAGACATCTACAATGAATTATGGGGTGTCTGGTCACCTTGTCTAATTTCAAGCAATCGAGAGTTGTGAGTGTGTGAAGCTGTATATTTTGGGCTAATCCCAGTGTGTCTCATGCTGGGCTTGTGACTAGCCCTCAGACTCTGACTAAAAGAGTCTCTGTATGGATGAGAAAGACTGCTGCCTGATTTCTGAGAAAATGGCTCATGATGTTTCTCCCTTTAGACATGCAATCTGACTGCTGATTCCAGAATAATTCAGAGGCTGATTTGCACTTTAGATCACTTTAGATCTCTTGATCATTTTCTCTTCAGCAGATGATATGGCTGCACATTAGTGTTGTTCATATTAATGGAAAAAATGTTGTGACTTCAAGTGCATCATGCATAGGCTAATCATGCATAGACTGATTAGATCTGCAGCAGTGCTAACACACACAAGTGTGTGTGTTGTTTCCATGTGTTTCTGTAGAAGTGTGTTTAAATGCTACCTAACTTCCACATGACCCAATCTTAAGCCAGGCCTAACATCTGGGGTCATTAAGTGAGCGATGCTCCACTAAACAATCATCATGCCTCACTAAACATCTAAAATGAATTATGGGGTGTCTGGTCACCTTGTCTAATTTAAGTGATTTGTACTGTTTTGTAAATGCTTTTATAGTGGCAGGCAACAAATTCCACTAAAAGGCTACATCTGCTAACATAGGAGGGTTTGCAAAAATAGATAAGTAAATAATAAACATATCCATACATAGGTACACCTTTGGTGATTTGCTGTAAATATCGACAGATCTACCATAGATTTCTCTTTTTTATATTCTTTCCTGCCATGTATATGAGCTGCACAACCCATTCCCCCTACCACTTCAAGCAAACTGTATGAGTCAGCCTCACTGATCGGGAATGCTGCGGCCCATCTCGTTACTATAACTGAAGTCTCCTCGACTTCTTGCTAACCCGGAAACTGATTGAAGTCTGCCATCCTTAAGGACGTAACAATTCTTTTAAAACCACTCTGAAGAATTGAGGAGCAAAGATACATAGGTGCATACTATGTATCTTTGGCAGTATCCATGAAAACGAAGCACCATGAGATCAAGCTGGTCAGCTTCAGTAATGAAATACACTGTGAAGGCGTTCTTAGAGTTAACAAGCATGTTTCTACACTACTATTAACCATAGAAATCCACAGTAGGTCTATAGTTCATGAAGCAGAGAGAATTTACCCTGAACAAGATTAAGGAAAAACAACAAAAACAATGTTGCTTTCCACTGTTGCTGACATTTGATTTTGTGATTTTTGCCATATCCCAGAGATTGGCAACATGTGGCTCTTTTACTGCCCTGTCGCAGATTAGATTCTAAGGTAAAAACAAAATAATCCTTCTTTGCAGTAAAATAAAGCTCTGCTGATCGTTCTAACACAGTTTTAAAAGTAAATGGTCTTAAACACTGGAGTTAATGTATAACTGACAATTTACTGAAGGTTGGCATGCAGACTGCTGGTCACCATAGCAATGCAGACAACAATCTTGCCTAGCTAGTAGCTAGCAAAAAGGCAAAGAGAAAGATTTAAGATGAACATTGATAATTTGTAGACAATCAGACTTATTTGAATTTTTAAGCACTCAGCTGGTTTTCTGATACATTTAATCTGCAACAAGAAACTGTCAAACACTAAAAATTTGTGAAGCTTAGATCGGTTTCCCATCCCACCTTAAATGGGGTAGCAGTTACATTCTGGCACCTCAGGCACTATTTAAGTTGGAACGGGAAAATTCAAACAAGAAGCTGATGAATGAGAAAATAGACTTAAGCCTCATAAAAAAATCGAACATTGAGAGATGTTTTACAAGAAACTATTCTACTTTTATGGAAAAGTTTCCTGCCAGATATGCGAGAAAAGCAGCTATAGCTGAGTTAAAGCTTAAAGCAGAGCAAAGTAAGTCTGCTTTTTGTTTAGCTTTTTTAGCCTATACATTAGCACATACTAAAACATGTTTACAGCGAAGATTGTAAAATGGACCTAAAAAGTTGTGGCCCCCAAGGTGGTTTGATTTTTGTTAAAAGGACAAAATGGCTCTTCTTAACATTTGTGTTGCCGACCCCTGGCCTATCCTGTAGTCCACAGTTGTGCTTTTGTGCAGTTGTGTGAATTGTATTCATGTTCTTTCCAGTGAATGTCCATGTATATTGCATTTGTCAAACATGCAAAAGCACAGTGTGCAGCACAAGACCAAACACATTTTTTTCTGCAAAATTAAAATCTGTGCATAATCATTGGTTAAAAAATCATTTATCATTGTGTAAAATATATATATATATATATTTAGAATGGTTTGATGTGAAATGCTCTGTTCTAAAGAAACTAATCATTAAAAATTCATAGTGGTGATCATAGGAACAACACATCCGAAGCATTTAATGCCTCTAAAAGCTACCTTGGAGAAAGATATATAATGGAGTTATGGCATAACTGAAGTTTGAGGAAAGACCACGCCTAAACTCCTCCTTCCCAATTTCAGCTTCCTATAAATACCACTCCTTCACTCCTCCCACTCGTGACGAAATTTCGCACCGACCCGGCTTCGTGCTCTCGTCCTCATGGACCTCGACATTGTCGCTTCCGATGACGACCTCTTTGGAGAAAGCCAGCACCTTTCCTCCCAGGGATCCGCGCGTCCTGCACCCAGGCTCAAGTCCGTCGTCGCGGTTCCCAACACGCCTGCTGCCTTGGCCTCCTCCGGCTCCTCGTCTAGCCACGCCGGCTCTCGTACGGCGTGCAGCATCTCCCGAAAGAGCCGGCGTTCGTCCCCGGATCCCCCGCCCGCTCCGGCGCAGTCTCCGCGCACGCGACGTGGCCGTCGCGAGCCGAGGATTCCCGCGACTCCCCCGGATCCAGCGCTCCCGCGCCCCTCCTGCTCTAAATCTAGACCTCCGTCTATCTCCGATTGGACCGTTGCCAAACTGCAGAAGGTCCTTAGGGACCGGCACGTTCCTTTCGCCCGCACGGCGCCTAAGGCAGAGCTTTTCTCCCTGTACGTGCAGTCTCTCGGGAGTAAATGGCGCAGCCTGATCGCGTCACCTTCCCCATGGCCCCGGCGCGTGATGACGTCACCGACTCCCCGGGCGCCCCCTCGTCTGATGTGCCGCCCTCCGCTGGATGTCCCGGACCCACTACCAGGCAGCCTGCCTCCGTTGCTGGCCCAGCCAGCACTGTCGTCGCCCCCACTGCATGCCTTGCTTCTGTTTTTTCTCGGCTCTCTCCCCCTACCATTGACGCCGGCGACGTATCTCTCACCCTCAAGTGTGCCGATCCTCGCACCTCTAAGGTCCTCACCGCTCCTGAGTTCGCACTCGCTTTTTCCATCTGCCGTGATGTACTCTGTTCAGCCTTCCCATCGCGGCGTCAGGAGCTGGATGACTATCTTTCTATCATCTTGGACCTCGCCGTTCGATTTGGAGGGTCGGGTTTCTACGATTACCATTGTCTGTTCTCGGCCCGTGCATCTGCCCGTCTTCAGCAGTGGAACATGTCTACATATTGGGGCTACCTGGACCTTGAGCTCTACTGTCGCGTTTTTGCTGGTCGTACTGCTCTCTCCTGTGAGCTCTGCGGTTGCCCGTCTCACCCCGCTTCCTCCTGCAATCTCGTTGCTCCGCCCCCTCCCGCTCCCCGCACTGCTGTACCCTCAGCTCCTACGGCAGCCCCCGCCCCTATCTTTACGACTTCCAGTTCCCGCGATAGTCGCGGGCGGCGTTTGCTTTTCCTCGGAGGACGGATGGTTTGTAATAATTTCAACTCCGCTGGTTGTTTTTCTTCTTCGTGCAACTTCCTCCACGTCTGCTCTCATTGTGGCCAGGCTCATTCTAGATCGGGATATCCCCTTCACCCTCCTAATGTCCCTGCTCTCGCTGCTGACCTCTCCCTCCATCCTGATCATTCTTTCGTCTCGTATTTGCTGGACGGCCTCATCTTTGGCTTTTCTCCTGGAC